TGATCTTCATCAGTATTTTAAGTCCTTTTTGCTTTCAGCAAGCGAGGTTGTAGCATTTACATGTCAGGGGGTTGATGAGTTTTCCTCCAATGATAATGCTACATTGCTCTTCAAATGATGGAGCTTCTCAGGGTTATTCAGTGTACAAATTGAATAGGGTGAAAGGAAATAACCTCAGGGTACATCCTTCCTGATTTTAAGCCATTCAATATCCCCTTGTTCTGTTTGAACAACTACCTCTTGGTCTATGTCAGGTTCCTCATGAGCACAATGAAGTGTTCTGGAACAACTATCTTCCCAACATTATCCATAGCTTGTCATGATCTACACAGTCAAAAGCCTTTGCACTGTCAATAAAGCACAAGTCAATATCCTTCTGGTATTCTCTGCTTTCAGCCAAGATCTATCCAACATCAGCAATGATATCGCTAGTTCCACATCCTCTTCTGAATCTGGTTTGAATTTCTGGCCATTCTCTGTCAATGTATTGTTGCAACTGTTTTTTATCTATAGCAAAATTTTATTTGCATGTGATATTGTTCTATGATTTCTGCATTATGTTGGGTCACCTCTCTTTGAAAATATCTGCTTGCTTTTGTAAGTATTTGGGGGGTCAGATGCTTGCTTATATGCATGATAATTTCATTGTCAGAATTCAAATATTAATCTAGTGTTATTTAAACAACCACTGTTATAATAATTTTTTTTTAATTTTTGTCTTGAAATCATATAGTTCAAGCATTTATCAAATGCAAGTTCTAGAAGCAATATAGAACTTGTGCCTCAAAATCAATTACTTTGGCACAGCAGCTGGACGTGGATGAGCAAAAACTCTTCAAATAAAGTCTAATAACTGCCACGGTATGTATGCTATGCTGTTATGTAGAAACAAGCAATGTGAGATGTATTAGAAAGAAGACTGAGTTTTTTTAAAAGCACAAGTATGCATCATAATAGCTGAAGATTTATGTGCACTAAGAATACATCTCATATTCTTTATATTTATGCCTATGGGGAAATCACTCCTTTGAATTTTGTGGTTTTAATTATGCATTTTGCAACTTCCTTTTGCTTAGATATAGAACCTAAACCCATGTAGATAAGGAAATGGGCCTGAAATGCATTTTTAAATAATATATTTGCTTCCCTGTGGTTTTCCTGATTATAAATAATCATGCATTGCAAAATGCTAAAAAGTATAAAATCCCCAAGAATCCCACCATTAAGTGTTAAGTTTATTAGTATTTTGGCAGTTTTAATTTTTTATTTTCTCTATGTTGATACATAGTTTAGATAAAATATACACACAATTTTATATGTTAATGTTCTTCTTAACCTTAAATGAATATTTCCAAGACAGTAAAAACTGTCTATGGGTATTTTAAAGGCTGCATAATACCTTAGCATATGATTATAACATACTAAATTGACACTTCGCCTAATATGAAATATTCAGGTACTTTGTTAGTTTCGTCATTATAAACAATTCAGTGATGAATACATTCACATAGAATTTTTATTCCAGTTTGAATGATTTTCTTTGGGAAAATGTCCTAGAAAGAGAATGATTAGGTCAAAGAGTATGGGTACAGTTAAGCATATTCATAAGAAGCCAGGACATAAATGTGGCATAAAGGCTCAGGGTTCAAACTCCTCAGCAGCTCCATGAAAGAAAGACCTGGTAACTTGCTCCTGTAGAAATTATAGCCTAGACAACACTATGGGGAAGTTCTGTTATGTAAGGTCACAATGAGTCAAGAGCTGTGGTTCAAATCCACCAGATGCTCTAAAGGTGATCTGCTCCCATAAAGATTTATAGTCTTGGAAACCCTATAGAGCAGTTCTACACTGTATTGTGCAGTGGCAGTTGTTGTTGTGAAGTGCTGTCGAGTTGGTTCCGACCTATAGCGACCCTGTATAGGGTTTCTAAGGAGCAGTCGGTGAGCTTGAACTGCTGACCTTGCAGTTCAAATGGATTTGCAGTCTGGTTCATTCACCCACAGTGTCATACCAGGACTCCTTGGTGGCAGAGGGTGTGAATTAATTATCCATGTATATCCTTTGCTTATTTCTCTATTGTATCATTAATATTTCCTTGTAATATATAAGCATTTTTTACATATTAATTAAATTCTTATCAAATGAAAAAAGAACTAAGAATATAACATATAAAAAGTGGTTTCATAAATGTTAATGTTTTACTTCCCCAACTTAGCTAAGCCCCTTTTCAAAACGCTTATGATTGTTCTCACCTGCTTATTCTTTCAAATAGTTCTTAGAATGTTAGAATTCTGATAGGAAACAAGACCCACTATTAAATTTTAAATTTTAATACAATTGCAATTATACTAAATTCATAAATTTAATTTAAAAATAAATTTAGTTTCTAATCCCCCTATTCCCCTTTATTAGAGATTTCTGTCTCAATTATATTTTGATATATATGCAAGGGGCCTTCAACATGTTTGTGAAAAAATTCTATTGTCTTTTAATGCCATTTTTCCAGAAAATTTTTGAAACCCTCTCATATTTTTGGTACAAAAGCAAAAAACTTGATGGCTTCCAACAACAATTTACTATTATCTCCCTGTGTCTGTGATGGGGTTACAGTCAGATGGCAGCTGAAGATCCAAGATGGCGCCTGCACTTGCAAGTCAAGCTCATCCTGGCCTCTCCCTCGAGCAGAGTAGCCTGGATTTTTTAGATGGTGACTCAGAGCTATAAGGGGTAAAATCAGTGTTCTTAAAAGCTAGGCCTAGAACTGACACCATGTCACTTCTGGCATGTTCTACTGATTAAATCAGACACCTGCCAGCCCAGATTAAAGGATAGAGCAATAAGTCATCTCTTGATGGGGAGAGGCCTGAGCAACCAGGATGGGCAGCCATCTTTGTAGACAAACTACCTCATTTTCTTTAATTGATCTTGGTAAAATTTTCCTCGTGAAAGTTTAAAATTTGTACTGCTGTAGTAATTTGTATCTTTTTCTTTAATAGTTTATAAACTGGTTAGTGTTGATAGGAAAGATGACTATTGACCATTGTCTTTGATATATGTATTTTCTAGCCAATCATTTTGCTAAATGTCTTATTCATTCTGACTATTTTTCAGTTCTTGGTTTTCACAGGCAGATCATCATATTAACTGATAATAAAGATGACTCTTTACTCCTTTTCAGTATTTGTATTTTATGTGTGTTATTGTACTGGTGAGGCACTGTACGATAAGCATTGGAATGCTAAACACATGGTCGGCAGTTCAGACCTACCAGCCACTTCTCAGAAACACTATGCAGAGCTGCTATGAGTCAGAACTGACACGACGACACTTAGCAACAACTACAATATGTTGTTGTTACAGGTTAGGACTTTCTGCAGAAGGCTAATAGGAACCAGCCTTGTTTTTAAGTACAAATATATTCAAGTGATAAAGTGGACTTTAAAAACCAACACACACATTTTCCAGAGCTAAATTAAGTCACTTACTTTAATGTAAAATGCAAATGCATAAAAAGATAGATTCTTCTTTGAGACTAATTAAATTCAGGGGAAAACCATGCCAAACACTGCCGTCAAGTTGATTCGGACTGCCAACAATCCTATAAGGCAGAGCAGAACCGCTTCTTACCATTTCTAAGACTAAATCTTTCTAGGAGCAGCCTCAGCTTTCTACCTCAGAGCAGCTGGTAGGTTTGAAACACCAACTTTGAAGTTAGCAGTCCAGTGCCACCAAGGCTCCTCAAATTCAGGGAGAGGGGCAATAAAACAAGATGACGATGACAGTGACCAGTACACTTTGAACACTGAATTCGTTTCTCCCTGAAATTTGTAAATTTCCAAAAAAAAAATAAGTTATCAAACATATTTATTCACTGTCACAACCAGCTAATAGCTCTAAATAAATAATGGTGTTATTAAGTGCTGTTGAGTCGGTTCCAACCCATAGTGAGCCTGTATAAGGTTTCTGAGGAGTGACTGGTAAGCTTAAACCTCCAACCTTGCAGCTCAAACTGCCTTTGCAGTCTAGCACACTAACCCACAGCAGAACCCCTAAATAATTATAAAACATCATAAACGGCAGCAGTTTCTCCTTTCTTCATAGGCTTGACTATTTCTGCTGGTGGTGTGGTTGTGTGCCACCGTGTTGGTTCTGGCTCACAGTGACCCTGTTTCTGAGGCTGTAAATCTTTGTTGTTGTTGTTATGTGCCATGGAGTAGGTTCTGACTCATAGTGACCCTGTACAGGGTTTCCAAGGCTGGAAATCTTTACGGGAGCAGAAAGCCTCATCCTTCTCCCGCGGAACAGCTGGTAGTTTCGAACTACTGACCTTGCGGTTCGCAGCCCGATTCGTAACCACTATGCTACCAGAGCTCCTTTGTTGTTGTTGTTGTTGTTGTTGTTGTTAAGTGCCGTCGAGTCGGTTCCAACCCATAGCAACCCTGTACAGGGTTTCCGAGGGTGTAAATC